AATACTTTGTTTGCCGTGTGGAAATTCGACTCCAACACCTCAGCGAACTTCTCCCAGGAATCAGTCTTGGCTTTTGCCAATGCTATGGCTGCCGTCTTGCGTGCCTCGACATATCGCACCCGTGTAGACGGCTCCTTGTTTCCAAGCCATTTCTTGAACGCTGCTTTCTTCTCTTTAACTGCCAGTTGTAGTGTGTAGATGGCTCCTTGTTTCCAAGCCATTTCTTGAATGCTGCTTTTTTCTCTTTAACTGCCAGTTGTACTTCTCGGTGTCCACCATGAAGATGTTTGCTGACCTCCAGGCGTCAGGCCAACCAGTTTATATGCGCAGCATTCGGCGGCAGCCTCCAGTAGGCCTCTCTTAAATAGGTGCCACTCGGTTTCAACACCAGTCGTCATCGCTGGGATCTGTTCATCATACACCATTCGCCATCATTCTGCAGATAAAGGGTGGCATATTCTGATCCATTCGTTACCTTTCCTAAAACGTTTGTCCTTCAAAATCAGTAAAGTGAGTAGCAGCAAAATTTCAAAGAAAGCCCCATCAATAGTCAGAAAACAAACAACTGCATTGACAGTAGAACGGGGTATGACTGTTCTTTTTCTCTATTATGATAGATTCATTTAGCGCAGTAGATAAAACATGCTTCGAGTTTATTCGATAAGCAGATATCGATGTCATCAACTGTATGATATTATGTAGTAAAGATGCAGTTGCCATTTATAAAAAAATAAGGTGGTGTTGTCTGTCTGTAAAACTGAACCATAACAATTGCTTAAGCTATTTACGGGCAATATTGACACTAGAATCGTGCCGGATCAACAGGCGGTGACGCAACCCATAACATGCATATAATTCACGAGCACACAGAATGTATTAACTCAACAGCAAAAACGAAAAAATAGCTTAACGCTCACAGTTGTGTACGACTAAATTCGTAACAAAGCTGTTGGTAAGTTCGCCAGCTTCTGGAGAAAATAATACACATCCGTGAAAACGCGTGTTTTGGCAATATATCTGAATGCAAGGCAGACTGAAAGCTGTACTACGAAACATATGCTGCAGAAGAGTCGCACGATCATTTCTGTCCAACCGTAATTTTGTGACAGCAGCAGTGTCCGTCACCTTTAACTAGGATCGGTAAATAGGCATAAGTCTGTTTAAGCTAATACTCGGTATAAAACGCCGTCCATCACCAAAATCAGCGTGATCACGAACGAATAATACATCTTTAAAATATTAACAAAAGTACTTACGCGGCTACGCGATTCTCTATTAGCTTTACTTTGCATTATTGCATTTCTTACAAAATGTTCCGTATTTTATAACAAGCGTGAACGATGTTCTGAGGGCCCATAACACGTTCAGAGTTAGCAATACACAGCCAACGTCGTTCGTCGAATGAGCTGTACTGCTCATCAAGCCATAAACATAATCTCTATTTAGTAAATAGACAGCGACAGCCACAGAGTAGAAAATAAAGTGCCGTAAATTTTGATGTTGGCAATTTACAGGTGAATTGGGCACATTGGACGGCAACCTGCCAGCAGCACTTGAACGATTCTTATTTCAACCAAGCATTTGTAGGATCACACTAGAAAAAATCGTTTTATTTTTGATGCAGTAAGGGTAGAATTATCAACTGTTTTCACAAATGTTCCGGAGACAGTTGGGCTTACAGAAAAAATTTGTTTTCGCCACCGCAAAAGAAAATAACCAATAACCATCGTTCTCTACGTCTAGCAGCAATTACAATACGAAAAGTTTTTCACGACAAACTGAACACCGGGCTGAAACGTTCGCGTTTACATGCTGAGCTACTTTGAGGAATTTCAGTTCGGTGATTCATAAAATTTCATGAGGTACAAGACTGACTCAGACTAAGAACAGAATCAAAAGAGTCCGTGATCGGCACAGTCTACCGGTGGAACTGAAGGAAAGCGTGATTGCAATATAGAAAACGTGCACCTCGTCACTGAGTCGTTGTGATGAACGCTGTTGACTATTCCACGATCAGTGGTGTTTTATTAACAACGTTAAATTAGCCGTAGCAACATGAGAAAAACTGTGATGCAGCGTCGTGGCGAAAGTAACAAGGATATCAAAAGTTATGACAATGACAAATATAATCAGCAATGACAAAACAGCGTCAGTTGCTTTCCGGTACGCGTCCTCACGCAATTTACAACTGCCTTTTGAGACAACCGTGGCGAAACATAGGTTCCTGTCATGCTGAATAAAAATGTTTGAATAACTTAGGCTGGTTCACCGACCGTCCCACCAACGGAGTCCCTGCTACCACTAAGGTCGAATTTCGCTTCGTGCTGAAGTACAGACGATGATACCAAGTCAGGTATGCGCTGATCACTGAATATACTCTCCAAGATGTCATCCAACACGTAGAACGATTCGTTGACTACATGCAGCTGTGAGGTGGCGATCTGTAAGAGATATCTGCTGATTCGTGAATATGAAAGACTTCGTTCATGACCCCAACAGTACCTGGATGGTCAACTGCGTGCCGCAAATGCTTTCCGTCATGCGGTCTAGTTCCTTGATCAACGGAGATACCGTTTCAGTTGCCAGCAACTCAACATCATTTTCGAACTGTATATTGCTTTCCCATAATTTTTTCGCGAGCAGGCTGAAATAACAAACAGGATAAGATATAGCGATGCATACGGAATCATACTGCTTAACTGAACATATAGGAAGCCAAGCGAAAGAATTTCACGGAATGGTTCTGCTCAAAAGACTGATGCAACATGCAAGCACATTAAAGCCAAACTATATTTTATGCCGTCGAAACCAGAGACCGACGCTGTATTCGAACTGCGACAGACTTTGAAGACAAAAAGAAGAGAGGAATCTTTGCATGCTTTTTCCAGACGAAGAACTTCCGCATAACGTAAGATACGAGAAAGAAAACGTTATGCTGGAAGGAGAGAAGAAAGTATCAAAACAGCTTACGGTCATGTAAGACATGAATAATGAGGTTAAAAGGCAAGTTAATGGACGAAAAAAACATTCGCACAATAGTAGGGATCAACGAGGTAAGAGAAATCTGATTTAAGTCTTAGAAATTATACAGTGATTGGCTTATCTCTTGGTAAACGCTTGTTGCGGATAATTTTTCCAAAAGGCATGATTTTTTCTAGCTAACCAGTATAACTGAGTCCGTAAAGGTTCAGTGCTGAGTTCAGTTCTGTTCTCGAAGGCGACAGATGCGGTAACTAAAAATCTGTAGAAAGCAACCCAACTATCATGTGGTCTAAGTAGATGACGCAGTTATGAACAGTGAAAACAGAGACGCTGTAGAAGCAAAAACCGAGGCAAGGAGAAGTCCTAGAGAAAAACGGCCTGCAGATTAGCAAGGCAGAAGTCGGAATACACGGCGGATTATTTCAGAGGAGAGAACAGGCGGCAAGTCAATAAGTCAGGTAGCAGAGAGTCTGTAAAAACAAACCCAAGTCTTCAAGTACTCTGGTTCTATTTTTCAAGACAGAATATGAATGAAGTAATCGGCCAAAAAAAGCGTGGCTGAAATGGGGAGAGATGATCTGAGTAGCGTTCTATTAGAAGAAAGCAATCTAGCTAAAGAGGATACGCATTTATCGTGTGCTCTAAGGTCTACTTGAGTAAATTTAACTGAGTGACAGGACAACAGTATAGCCAGCATTTCAACAGGGAGCGGGATGTCTCGCTACCATGAAGACATGAGTAACAGCTGTAACTGTACAGATAAATGTGGTATAAGCAGGAGGGATCCCATCCCGAATACCTTGATAAGAGGCATTATATGTGTTGCACCAATTACAAAAAGGTTAAAAACAGGTTCCGTTAGTTCGATCATGTGCAAAGATGATCCAGCATGAGTACCTCGGAAATTCGGTTCAAGCACATTGTTTGTTATCGTTTGTATTCTTGCAAACCTGCGGGCTGCGTACGACTTGTGATCTCCATTCACTGCATTCTGATATTGGGAACTGTTAACTGCGTAATGGAAAGATTCCGCAACGACAACAGATCAGATCTCCGTTTAGTTCCTTCTGCCATGTGATGTGCTGGCCACGGATCTTTCGCCATCCATTTATGGATTCGTTCGCCAACAGCTGACGAACCTATGAGGTTTTATCGCATCGTTATAAACAATCGAACGACACCAGCCGTCAGTTTCTCAGAAATGTTGATACGTCAGAGAGGTCGGCTAGTGCCATGAATCAATCTTTCTTACGTGTTCGAGCCACTTGATCTTCAGCAGCTGGCGCAACCAGCGTTGTGGTGCGGGCGGTCTATCTGATGTTCCTGTGCACTTGTGAATGCCACCGTTTCCAATCCTTGGAGCAAAATTGGTTTGACAACAGTGCAACAGAGTCAAATTCTGGTTGCTACTCCTCTATAGGTCCAAACGTTCGTGAGGCTCTTAAAGGTGAACGACGCCAACGTAATCCTTCAGTTCAGATACCGTTCACAGTTCCCATTCATCCACGTGACAGAGTCAAGATATATGAACTGTGAGACTGACTGTACTATTTTCATCACGGCTCCACAGTATTTCTGGGTTCCTCATGCTTTTCATCTGTGCAGAGTTCAGCTGGAGACCCTACTTTCGCTGCAGCTTTGCATTCTGCTTCACTGAGCGAGCGGACATCGCCCTCGCTGTTGCACAATAAGACCACGTCATCGGCATAGTCCAAATCAGCCAGGTATTTCGCCAAGTATCTCGAGCTTCTCCTCCGTTCCAATAAGACACCGTCAATGCATTGCCGTTCAACGCTGTTGCCTGTAATTACACCGAACAGCAAGAAGCAGAAGAAAGACGCCTGGCCTGATTCCGGTTTTGATCTCGAATTAATGCGAAATCAATCCTTTGGCTTTTGCAGCGCTGATTAGCCCA